ACAGAGTGAGAGTGAGTTCCAGAACAGGCTCCAAAGCTACACAGAGAAACCCTGTCATGAAAAACCAAAAAAAAAAAAAAAAAAAAAAAAGAACATTTCACAAGATAAAACCCACCTGGCGCCACTGTTGGCCCAAGAACCTACCTATAGCAAGCCAGGTCATAGGCCCTAGAGGAGAACTACTGCTTTCCTGCTAAGTGGACACAGCATTAAACTAACTCCTAATGACTTAGCCCCACACCCATAGATTAGTGCACCTCTCATCAGAGAAGCTTCCATTTGCAGTAGGTGATGATTAACTCAGACTCACAACTAGGTGCACAGAGGAAGAAACTGCAGAATGTTCAAGAATGTTCAGCCTTTCAACGCAATGCCCATCAAAATCCCAGCAAAATTCTTCAAAGACCTCAAAAGAACAGTACTCAACTTCATATGAAAAAGAAAAAACCCCAGGATAGCCAAAACAATCCTGTACAATAAAAGAACTTCTGGGGCTGGAGAGATGGCTCAGTGGTTAAGAGCATTGCCTGCTCTTCCAAAGGTCCTGAGTTCAATTCCCGGCAACCACATGGTGGCTCACAATCATCTGTAATGAGGTCTGGTGCCCTCTTCTGGCCTGCAGACATACACACAGACAGAATAATATTGTATACATAATAAAGAAATAAATTAAAAAAAAAAAAAGAACTTCTGGAGGCATCACAATCCCTGACTTCAAACTCTACTACAGAGCTACAGTACTGAAAACAGCCTGGTACTGGCATAAGAACAGACAGGAGGACCAACGGAACCGAATAGAAGACCTGGATATCAATCCATACATCTTCCAACACCTGATATTTGATAAAGAAGCAAAAATATCAAGTGGAAAAAAGAAAGCATATTTAACAAGTGGTGCTGGCATAACTGGATATCAACATGTAGAAAAATGAAAATAGACCCATATCTATCACCATGCACAAAACTCAAATGGATCAAAGACCTCAACATAAAACCAGCCACACTGAACCTTAGAGAAGAAAAAGTAGGAAGTACACTTGGACACATTGGCACGGGGAACCACTTCCTAAATAGAACCCCAGCAACACAGACACTGAGAGAAACAATTAAGAAATGGGACCTCCTGAAACTGAAAAGCTTCTGTAAAGCAAAGGACACAGTCAACAAGACAAAACGACAGCCTACAGAATGGGAAAAGATCTTCACCAACCTCACATCAGACAGAGATCTGATCTCCAAAATATACAAAGAACTCAAGAAATTGGACACCAAAAGATCACATAATCCAATAAAAAAAATGGAGTACAGACCTAAACAAAGAACTCCCAACAGAGGAATATAAAATGGATGAAAGACACTTAAGGAAATGTTCAACATCCTTAGTCATCATAAAAAAAGCAAATCCAAACAACTCTGAGATTCCATCTTATATCTGTAAGAATAGCCAAGATCAAAAACACTGATGACAACTTATGCTGGAGAGGTTGTGGGGTAAAGGGAACACTCCTGCATTGCTGGTGGGAGTGCAAGCTGGTACAACCCCTTTGGATGTCAGTGTGCTGATTTCTCAGAAAATTAGGAAACAACCTTCCTCAAGACCCAATAATACCACTTTTAGGTATATATCCATCCAAAGGGTGCTCAATCATGCCACAAAGACATGTGCTCAACTATGTTCATAGCAGCTTTGTTTGTCATAGCCAGAACTTGGAAACAACCTAAATGACCCTCGATAGAAGAATGGATAAGAAAAATGTGGTACATTTACACAATGGAGTACTACACAGCAGAAAAAAATAATGACATCTTGAATTTTGCAGGAAAATGGATGGAGCTAGAAAACATTTTTTTAAAGATTTATTTATTATGTATACAACTTTCTGCCTCCATTTATACCCACACACCAGAGGAGGGCGCCAGATCTCTTTACAGATGGTTTGGAGCCACCATGTGGTTGCTGGGAATTGAACTCAGGACCTCTGGAAGAGCAGACAGTGCTCTTAACCACTGAGCCATCTCTCCAGCCCTAAAAAACATTATTTTGAGTGAGGTAACCCAGACACAGAAAGACAGTTATCACATGTACTCACTCATAGGTGGTTTTTAAACATAAAGCAAAGAAAGCCAGCCTACAAACCACAATCCCAGAGAACTTAGACAACAATGTGGACACTAAGAGAGACTTACATAGATCTAATCTACATGGGAAGTAGAAAGTAGAAAAAGCCAAGTTCTCCTGAGTAAATTGGGAGCATGGGGACCTTGGGGAAGGGTTGAAGGGGAGAGGGGAGAGTCAGGGAGGGGAACAGAGAAAAATGTAGAGCTCAATAAATATCATGGAAAAAAAAAAAGAATGCTCAGCCTTAGATGGAACATATACACTACCCTGTCCTCCAGAGGCTCAGAGACAAGGGGAAGGAAGGCTATGAGCAAGATGCAGTGGATGACTATAAGGAAAATGTGTCCTCTGGACACAGCAGGGCAGCTGCACCTCTGAACCCACAGTGCGGAGAGGAGAGTTAGGCTCTAAGTTCCACCCCAGCCAAGCACTATTGGCAATTATTAGCTACCGGGAGAGAAAAGGTCAGTTTTCTCTAATAGTATAACTCCTGAGAAGTCACCCATGCTCCAGTAGAAGGTCACACATCAAGAATACCTGGGGGCTGGAGAGATGGCTCAGCAGTTAAGAACACTGACTGCTCTTCCAGAGGTCCTGAGTTCAATTCCCAGCAACCACATGGTGACTCACAACCATCTGTAATGAAATCTGGTGCCCTCTTCTGGTCTACAGGCAGGATACTGTATAAATAAATAAATATATCTTTTTTTTTAATAAATCTTTTTTTAAAAAAGAATATTTGGGCAACACAAGTGGGACTTGATAGATTTTTTTAAGGGCACAAAGTTGGGCAAGCAGGAAAGTGGGGGTGCATTGGGGATCAGTCAGGGGGGAAGAGTGAATATGAGTGAAAACAAATGAGATGAAATCCTCAAAGAACTGATACAAAGTTTAAAACAGCCTGGCCGTGGTGGTGGTGGCGGCTGCGGAGGCAGTGCAAAAGCAAAATAGTGATGCTGAGACTCCAGATATGGCCAAAAAAAAAAAAAAGCCAAGTGCTTCCTTCGACGTGAAAATGTGAAAGATCTCAATTTAATAAGGAAAAAAAAAGATAAACTGAGGGTGCTATTATAAAATCTACATTAAGAATAAAATGTCAAGGAAGGCAGTGGTGGTGCATGACTTTAGTCTCAGTAGTCAGGAGGCAGAAGCAGATGGATCTCTCTGAGTTTGAGGCCAGCCTGGTCCACAAAGGGAGTTCCAGGACAGCCAGCATTACACAAAGAAACTCTGCCTTAAAAACAAAAACAAAACAAAATAAAATAAAAAACAAACAAAAAGAAGAAAACGGCAGGAGTCAGAGCGATAGCTCAGCAGTAGAATATTTGCTAAGGACCAGGGTTTTATTCCCAGCACCCACACAGTGGCTCACAATTGTCCAGAACTCCCATTCCAGGAGATCTGATGTTCTGCTCTGACCTCTGTAGGAACCAGGCACAGATGTGATATACACACATACATGCAAGCAGAAACTCACACAAATAAAAGAGTCTTTAAAAAAATAATAACAATAAAGCCAGGCAGTGGTGGTGCACACCTTTAATCCCAGAATTTGGGAGGCAGATGGATCTCTATGAGTTTGAGGCCAGCCTGGTCTCCAGAGTGAGTTCCAAAGCTACAAAGAGAAATTCTATCTCAGAAAAAAAATAATAATAACAAGGTGATGTCAGGCAGCAGTCTGTCCAGAGAACCGGTACTAATTTCAAGGGTCTACTGAGGTCCTGAGAACATCCTTCCCTGGGATGAGGGAAACTGCTGTCTTTCCCTGCTTAAAGTCCTGAAGGACTTCCCACTGCTCAGTGATAGAGCACGTGCCTAACATGCATAGGGTTAGGTTTTGTTAACGCCATAATCACACACTACAGAAAGACACAGACTATGTCTTACACACCTTCACACTTCTAGTGCTTAGAGAAGTACTTCTCACTGACGGTAGGTTTCCATAAATGGCCGTGGGTACATTAAACCAAGAGCAGTCATCTCTAATGCTTCAGTTAAAGGTTTTCCTAAACAGTAAAGCTGGCTTCCTATCCCAGGCCTGCTGCTCATTAGTTGCATGAGGCAACCTGCTTAACCTCTTTGGGCCTCAGTTTCCTCACTGGTAGAACAAGGCTAATAATACCTATTTGGAAATATTGCCATGAAAACTAAACAAAATGACACGGTACAGTGATCAGGACACACAGTGCCTGGCAAGTAGTAGCCTCCCCACTCAGGTTTCAACTCGACAGAGACAACTAGGACAAAACAAATACAAAAATAAGTCACAGTAATCAAGGCAGACCGAGCACAGAATGAGTCATTCCTTTTAATCATTTGCCCAGGAAGATCAACAACGAGGAAACATAATAAGCAGCAGAATAAACTCTACTGGTAGCATGTTCCTTAGCATATAAGTTGGTGAGAATTCCCCCCAGACACTTCTAAGCTGATAGACTTCCTGCATCCCAGCCCAGCAGGTCAGATCTTGGTCCACAGTACCAGGTATAGTTTATTCAAACTGGAACAGAATCCAGCTCATAAGGAATGTGTTTATAGGCAGGGGATGGAGGAGGAAAACTGACTGCAGCTACATCAATCGGCTGTTTTGCTATCTGGCAGAACACACTGCAACGCCATTGGTAGAGACTCACACCCACACAGCTGCACTTACCTGTAGCCAAGAACCAGCTTAGAATAGATAAAGAGCAGTTTTTCTGCTTTAACCAAGCAGCTGTCAGACTTGCATAAAATGAACATTCTTAGGAACTAGGAAGAAATACCGCCCAGTTTTCCACATACACTAGTGGGGCCTGTGAGCACTGGCCACAGTATCAGTTCCATTGCTCACGCAGGAAGTGAAAGAGTAGATTTAAGTTCTACTCCCTGGGAACCTGCTTACCTCTACAGAGGCGCTGGGACTCACAGCACCTGCTTCCTCCGAGCCATTCAATTGAGAATGCCGCACCGCTCCAGGTGGTGCCACTTCACCGAGATGATCTCTCTTCTGACGAGCCCTGGTTAAACTCTGATGGTCATCAGAGGACACAGCAAGGGTGAGGGGAGACCTGGCGAGGCTCTGCCTCCTCCAAGACGTCCTGCCCCAGCCCAGCCTCAGGAGAAGTGGCTCATCATCTTCAGGTAGAAGGCCCAAGCCATTTGCAGTTTGGGATTTTTGAAAAATTATCACCATGGAATTGGAAGAGTCTGTCCTAAAAGGCTGGCAGCTTTGGGGCTTGCTGCAGTCGGCCTGAAAACACATCCCGTCCAGCCACCAAAGAGCATGACAGGCAGAGTCCTGGCAGCAGGCAGCCCAACAAGCTTGGAAAGACAGGCTTCCTTTAAGAAGCCAAAGGTGATTTTCTCCCCCAGTTCTCAAGCCAACTCCATAGAGTGTCTTCCCCTGCTGGCATCTGCTCTCATTAGCATCTAAAAACAAAGAATGAAAACGCTTTAGGATGAAACCAGATGAGATTACTCTTCCTTACTGAGCTGGAACACCAGCTTTTGGGGCTGTTTTGAAGACAGGTTTGTTTTATTGAGACAAAATCTCACTACATACCCTAGCTGGCTGGAACCCATTACTTAGACCAGGCTGGCCTTGAACTCACCTTGCCTCCTGAGTGCTAGGATTAAAGGTGTGAACTGCCATGCTTGGCTGAAGACAGGTTTTTAAAAGATAAGAAAATCGTCTATTAAATAGAACAGAGGGAAAAAACATTTTATGATTTAGGATATTTTAGTTTATAAGATAATTGTTCCACATCCATGGAGGAGGTTCCATTCTCAGTGAATTTCTGTCATGTAAGGCCTTTACAAAGAGTCATAACTTATGAAACAAAATATAGAGCAAAATTTTAAGGACTGTTCTGATGAAAGGGCTTGGCCAGAGTCCCCAGACTTGACCTTCTACTTGCCTCCAAAGTGTGTCAGAAACAACGGGGCTAAGGGACCAAGAAGTATAGGTAGATGGATACGCTGTAACATTTTCTCTACTGAACCACCAGCAACACAAGCTAAGCACTCCTGACCGCATGAGGTAACACACAAAGGTATTTTCTAATCAGCTATTTGCCAGTCACGTGGCTTTGCATATCATTTCATCAGCCAAAGTAGTGATGAAAATTACCAAAATCAAGGGGGAAATATCCTAGCTGGATTATCTTAATGACAAGCCATACCATTCCAAATAAATCAATGAAAACATGCAATAGTGTTCTCCTGTACGTAATCTAGATAATAACATGATCCTGGATTCTCACTTGAACTATTTCAGGCATGAAATTGATCTTCTTGATCATTGCCTCTGATGAAATCTGTTCTAAATGAAAGTTGTTGTCTTAGTCAGGGTTTCTGCTGCTGTGATGGAACACTGTGACAGGAAGCAACTTGAGAGGAAAGTTTGTTTCCACGTACACTTCCATGTAACAGTTTATCATCAAAAGCAGGTAGGGCAGGAATTCAAGCAGGGCAGGAACCTGGAGGCAGGCGCTGATTCAGAGGCCATGGAAGGGTGCTGATTACTGGCTTGCTCCCTATGGCTTGCTCAGGAACATAGGCCACCAGCCCAGGAGTATCTCCACCTACAATAGGCTGGGCTCTCCCCATATCAATCACTCATTAAGAAAACGTTCCACAGCCTGGCAAGGGTGGCTCACGCCTTTAATCCCAGCACTCGGGATCTCTGTGAGTCCATAGTCAGCCTGGTCTGTTGCAAGAGCTAGTTCCAGGACAGCCAAAGCTGTTAAACAGAGAAACCCTGTCTCGAAAAACAAACAAAAAACAAACAAAAAAAAAAAAAAAAAAAAAAAAAAGGAAGAGAAAAAACGAAAAGGAAAAGAAGAAAAAAGAAAAGAAAATGTCCCACAGGCTTGCCTTTCCACAGCTAATCTTACAGAGACATTTTCTCAATTAGGTTTCCCTCCTCTCAGACGACTAGTTTGTGTCAAGTTGACATAAAAGTGGTGTGGGACAATTCTGTATTCTGTCAATGTTTTAAATAAACGCTGATTGGCCAGTAGCCAGGCAGGAAGTATAGGTGGGACAACCAGACAGGAAGTATAGGTGAGGGAAGGAGAACAGGAGAATTCTGGGAAGGAAGAAGCCTATTCCTCCCCAGTCCTGTCCAGACACTGAAGAAGCAAGATGTGACCTACCCCGCTGAAAAGGGTACTGAGCCATGTGGCTAGTATAGGTAAGAATAATGGGTTAATATAAGTTATAAGAGCTAATAGAAGCCTGAGCTAATGGGCCAATCAGTTTATCATTAATATAGACCTCTGTAATTTCTTTGGGGCTTACCGGCTGTGGGAACCTGGCAGGACAGAAACCCCAACAAGCAGGCCCTCATGTTACATAAAAGTAGCCAGCACAAAGTCCTCCCTCCACCCCCAGGGCCTCAGACATGTATATAAGTACTCTACCACTGGACTATCTCTTCATCCACTTTTAATCTTTTACTTAGAGATACAGTCTCACTAAGGGGTTCAGGGTGGCTCTGAACTCATTGTGTACCAGGCAGACACTGAACTTGAATCCTTTCAGTCTCCCTAAGAGCTGGATTACAGACCTTCCTGTTTTAATTCAAGCTTACTGTTTCCAAGGATAGCCTTGAGCTCCTGATTCTCTTGCCTCCAACTCTGAGGTTGCAGTCATGCACAATGCCTCTTTAAACTTCCTGTTGACCCATAATAGATGCTCTCTTTCATCAGTTTAACCCTGTCCCTGAAGTTATAATTCAAAAAACATATTAAATGCCAGGTGGGTGAGACTCAAAAGGCAAAGATAAGAGTTGCCCAGAACAAGCCAGCTAGCTGTAACTATGAGCTCTGTTGGATTATGAGACCTGCCTCACAATGAATATATTGAAAGAGTGATAGAGGATGATTCCTGACAACCTCAGACCTCCACATATACTTCTGCAGAAACACATGCAAGCTTATAAAAATGGAAAAAATAAAATGTAAATATATATAAATGTGTGTATGTGTGTATGCTTGAAAAAGATAGGAAACATGCAATAGAATCAAAGCACTGATGAATAAATGCATCTACATACACACAGAACTGAAAACACACTAACTAAAGCAACTGTTCATTGGCCAAAACCAACCTGACTCCCACAAAATTTTCGCTAAGTATCCAACAGGCTAAATGTAGACACTAATCAACTGCAGAATGAAAAGATAAAGGTGTGGGGCTGGAGAGATGGCTCAGAGGTTAAGAGCATTGCCTGCTCTTCCAAAGGTCCTGAGTTCAATTCCCAGCAACCACATGGTGGCTCATAACCATCTGTAATGGAGTCTGGTGCCCTCTTCTGGCCTGCAGGCATACACACAGACAGAATATTGTATACATAATAAATAAATATTTAAAAAAAATTAAAAAAAAAGAAAAGATAAAGGTGGTCTTCTAGACTACTGAGTCACAAGTTCTATGTATGAAAGACAGCCTACCATTAATCTCTGAAAAATGTGAGATACATTGGCACCTAATACCAGACAAGGCAATTTAGAAAACCAGAGGGGAAAAAAAAACTTCCTTAAGAAAAGATGAATAAATAACAATTCTGAAACAAAGATGAAGGAAGTTACCAAAATATTCTCAGTGTCCTTATCCATCTTCCCACAGTCATCTGCAGCATGTGTCTTGGTAAGAGCTGTGCCTACAGTCATTGCTATGATCAATAAATTGTGGCTTAGTGATTTATAAACTTTGCTAAAAGCTGGTATAGTGGCACACACCTTTAATCCCAGCATTTGGGAGACAGAGGCAGATTAATATCTGAGATTGAGGCCACCCTGGTCTACAGAGGGAGTTCCAGGACAGGCAGAGCCGAATATCACTTTTGCAACGAGTATCTCTGTAATCAGGTTCATGTTCCTGTCTGTTGCCTTCAGTCCAGGGAATTGTCCTAGCACAGTTATTATAACTGGTATTCGAGTAAAAATCTGGCATCTATTGCCAGACAAACCAGCCTCAGATAATCCCTATGCTCAGAAGAACAGGTCTGAGCAACACATAAAGAAATGAAGAAGTCTTTTGGGGAAAGGATGAGATCACCCTCTGTTTTCTCTGCCTAGCTCTTAGAAACATGAGGCTAACAGACACTCTCCTGCTGAAGGAGCTACTGAGGAACAGAGGAGAAAGCTATGATGGGTGAGATCTGTATAGAAAGATATTCAAGAAAACATTCAAGCGGAATCTGAATGAGGTGATCGGAGTAACCAGACTGTGGATATGCTATGTCTGCCAACAGGAGAAGATGGTTAGGATTAAGTAGAGTAAGCAGCATTCAGTTGTTGCGGGATACATGATAACACTGTGAACTCCAAGTCTGCATTTGTGTTAGTTCAATAAAATCAACCTTGGGTCAGGAGGTGGAGTTAGCAACTAGTTTACAGAAAGTAATCATAGCAAGTCAGAGGGTCTCGGGAAAACCGATAGGGAGATGTACAGGAAGTAACAGGGAGGGACTTTTGGTTTAGAGCAATGGAAGAGACACTCTCTGAGGTGGTGAAAAGGGAAGGTCAGTTAGTTGCTCCTCAATCTCTCTGAGCTAACAGATTTTCACCCAAGCCTTTGATTCCCAAGTATTAATTGGTAAATAGAATGGTAGAGATTCAGTTAAATGGCAATGGCAGGAGGTGGATCCAGCAAGATATAAAAGTCCCACCAGGCAATGCTAGAGAAGTGAGCCAGGAACTGTAGCCACAGTCAGTAGATGAAACAGCAGTAGACTCAAGTTTAGTAGCTGTGTTGGAAATAAAACATCCAATTTTCAAAAGAGAAGAACACTAACATTTGCAAGGGACCACAAAAGGAAGTCTGGCACATCACTGGATGGCCAGACAGATCCAACGTTTCCAAGAAGAAAATTCCCTCAATTATGAAATAACCAATCATAGGCTCAGGCTGTTGACAGGTTAGGACTGGGATCTAGGGTTCTATGGGGATTCCTAGATAAGAAATATTGGTATAATGTTTGAATCTGGGAAGACAGTTCTTCTTATGTGCATGAACAATGATCACTAACTTGTGACCACATCTCAGTGATTCATCAGTACAAAGAAGTCTAGGGCTAAGCAGTGGTGGTGTACGCCTCTGATCCCAGCACTTGGGAGGCAGAGGCAGGTGGCTCTCTGTAAGTTCAAGGTCAGCCTGGCCTACAGAGTGAGTTCCTCAGTAGTTAGGACTATACAGACCATCTAGTGGTAAGTCTCACTACGGACTCTGGCTCACAGGCTGTAGCTTGTACTTTTGGAAAGACCTGCTCCACACCAACAGGTCTTCCTTCTGGCTTATGGCATGTTTTCCTAAGTTCCTTATAGATCTCGTTTTAGTTGTTTCTCATTTTGAACCACTTGACTTCACTTTTCTTGAGTGGCTGTACAACGTGCCAGACTTCCTTTTGTAGTTCCTTGGGGTGG